AAGAAAATGGTCCTTTAGGATTTTTAAACATAATTTTATTGAGAAACAAATAGCAATGACACAGTTCAAAACCGATTAGTAGGACAGTTTCAATAATTAATACATTGCATATTTTTGTCTTAGTGGTTATTCATAGTACAAGATGTAGACATGACATCCTGTCCACAAACACTATTAGAACAAATCTTTCTGTTCATTGAATTAAGAGAAAGTAGCTGTATATCTATCCTAACTGGGGGACCGGCCCTAGCTCAGTTCTTTAAGTGGCTGCTTCCACAAAGCTGTCAGGCTCAGGTGGCTGTGGTTCGATCCCCACAACTCAGGCCAGCCAAATCTGCTCTAATGGCATTCGGAGTGGAAAAAAAAATCCTAACTATTCTGAATATACAGATACAAAATGGTCGTTTATTTTTATTTATATTTTTTTGTCTAGTTTTCTTAGAGAAGGGTATCCCATTGTCATTTAAATATTGAAGGTGCGTGAATTCAGCAAAATATTCCAATATAGTCCAGTAGTCCATAATAGTAGTGGATTTTCCATAGGACTGGCAATGTCAGAAGTTGTTGACTTGAACCTTTTGCAGCTCAGCATATTAATATGGCATTACTTTTTTTTCTTTTTCTTTTTTTTTGCAGAACCAGGGATTGAACTCAGGCCCTTGCCCTTGCCAGGCAAATACTTATTCTACTGAACTATCTCCCCCACCCCTGGCATTACTTTTTATACCTCATTTTTGTACTCTTCTGCTGGATGGTTAAGACCAAGATAAAGCAAGACCTATATAACAAGAAATGCAACTTTTGGATCTTATAAGGTAGTTGACTTTCAATGTTAGTAGTTTTGGAGGTCACACAGCTAAGCCATATGTAAATTAGTCTGCTACTAGCTTTACTTTAAGTGACACCTCTGCTGAAGTCTTCTCTAACAAAATTTGCTTTCTACTGTCCTCTCCTGTGCAGTATCTTAAACTACATGGTTAAATTATTTCTGGGAAGAGACTAAAAAGACATGAGTCATAGAACTGAACTAATCCATGACTTTTCTAGATTTATAAGACCCATGTCCTCTGATGATGTTGCAGTAATATCAAAATGTGTATCTTCAACACAAAGCATATACCTTGTTAATCCTGTTCTTTAACTAAAGGTTAAAGTACAGATAATGTTTAACTTATAGGAAGTATAGTGTGTTTATCTAAACAATTACAGGGACTGGCCCAGGAGCTGAATGAAGCTTAATTATTACAAGGATATTCTAGCAAGAAAGGAAAAGAATTCATCCCCGAGTGACACAGATGGTTGTAGCACTTGGTGGATTGACTCAGCATATAGTCTTCTTGCCCACTGATGCCCTGCTCCTTTTTCCTCCCCATTGGAGCCCTTACACACACACACACACACACACACACACACACACACACACACACACACGTGTGCACACACGCACTCCTGAGTTCACTAAAATGGTCTTTATTGAGGGGACAGTAGTTTTTCCTCAGAGTACCAGCCCCTTAGGTAAACTTGAGACCTTCCTGTGATGATTGTCTCATGAATATTGGATTTTGAGCAGTAAGAAGATGGACTTGGGCCTGGTCACAAGGGGATTTGTTGGAAAGTTTATCCTGTGATGGGCTGCATTCCTCAGTGCTTGATCTTCTAGCCCCAAAGCCCTCCCTCCTTTGCAGTACTGCTTCCCAGTTTTAATTACCCATAATGAAATGTGATCCAAAAACATTAAATGGAAAATCCCACAAATCAGCAAGGGGGCATTCAGCACTGTGCTCTGTTGAGTAGTGTGGGGGCAGTTGTGCCCTCCCATCTCATCTCACCCAGTACCTGAGTCATCTGCTCCCCCAGCAGGTCTGTGTTGTGCACTCCAGCTGCCCCACAGCTCACAGGAGCAGTCATCTTGGCTGTCAGAAGGACTGTGGTAGTATTGCAGTACCTATGCTCAAATAACTCTTGTTTACTTGATAACATTCTTGAAGCACAATAGTAGTGACAGGAAGCAAAAGGAGAGAAGGTGTCCACTGGGAGTCCTTAGGCATAGTACCATGGATATAGGGGGACTATACTATTGAGACAAACTGCATATTATTTCAAACCTGACTCTACACTTACTGGCTGCATGGCCTTGGGCAAATTAATATCCCTCTCAGTTTACTAAGCTTATTTCCACATACTGTTTTTTCCTACTTTACATATATGCCTATTGTAGAGTTTTATTTATATACTAGTCACAGTAACATATACTAGTCATTAGCAACAATGAGATAGAACAATTGTAGCAGTGTTGTGCACCATTACTAGCATTGTGCTTCAAGGATGTTATCACGTGGGGCTATAGTCCTGCCTGCCTTACAGAGGTGTGAAGATGAACTGAATTTCAATCCATCTGCATAGCTGAAGCAATGCCTGGCTGTTGTAAGACCCATATAGCCATATAGGAGTTAGTTACTGCTTCTCTAGGCCTTTAGAGGCCAATTGAGGCTGCTTTGAAAATACTGAGTAGATGAGCTCACTAAGAATCCTGTAGCATTTGATATACTACTATATTGGCTGCCATCATTATCTACGCAGCCACTGAATCACTTCTTGTCCTTAAATTTAAGCAGTCACCAATTTTTGTTAATTCAACTCCCTAAATCTTTCTTTTCTGATGCCTTAGGTGATTCATTAATTCTTGCTTATATATCTTCAGTAGCTACCAATTTGTTCTTTTCTTTAGGGTCTGCTAGGCTGATGTCCTTTAAAATAGTACCAGGCCATTCTTCTAAAGTTCAGACCCTCATGCTTTACTCCCAGCTTACACCCTTGGAGCATGACCATGAAGTATTCACCATTTCCAACTCAACCTGTCATCCTCAGATCCTGCCATTTTCCACTCACATAGTCCTTGCACTGGTTCCTCCTTTCTCAGATTCCCATAGGACTAATATTCCTATGATTCTTTAATGAGTTGCTATTTTAGCTGTTAAGACACTAATAAAAAATGTTCTCAGCAACCTCAGGCATGATTAGTCATTTCCTCCTCTCCATTTGCCCTGCATTTGCACATTAAAAGTTGTGCTGGGATTGCAAATGGGTCTTTTTTTTGGGGGGGGGGTCTTTCTTAATAGATTGTGATCTCCTCAATGACAGGGACTGTGACAAATCTTTGTTTGCTCAAAATGACACCTATATTCCTGACACATCAAATATGTTTAATAACTATGTGGCCAGTGCATGAGTTAATAAATGAATAGAAATACCTCTGGTGACTTGGACCTTGGTAGGAGAATAAACACAGTAAAGAAGAGACAAATACTGTGTAGGGTTCACTGACCATGAGACAGAAATGTAGTGTCTGTGCTAAGTGAGTAACAATAATACCATTAGATTTAAGTGAGGATGGAACTAAAAAAATAGATAAAAATTGCTTAGAAAGTATCTGGTATATAATAAACATACAATATCTGTCCTGATTATTGTCAGGGCTGTTGGAAAAGAATTACTGTAAACTGTGACAGACTCTGATTTGAGTTACTATTTAACTCCTAACATTTGTAGCACTTTCCTACTGAGAAGGAATTTCATAAAGCTTTGTTGAATGCACATGAGTATAATGAAAAAGAAAACAGAATCAAATGAGAAAAGGACCTCACAGAGGATAAACGGGGATGCAGCTGAGAGAAAGTAAAAGATGTTGCTGGAGGTTGGGGCCTGGTGGTGTGCATATCTGCAGTCACATGCTGGAGAGGCAGCAGGGGAGCAATCATTTAGCTTGGGATTTCCAGACCAGCCTGGGTAATGTAGTGCGCAAAGAAAACAACACAAAAACAAAAACACAAAAGTCATTGCTAAGATCCTTTGAAAGCATAACATCACTGAAATGGAGACAAATAAAGAGTCTTGGAGTCCTGAACTTGTCATTTCACCCTCATGAACACTTTGGCTTTGTCCACCTCAAAAAGAGTGTTCTCTATGATTCAACATATAAATTTTGGAGATACAAACTTTTCATAACAGTGCAAATGATACCCATTAAGAATACTCACATATGGGGGGCCGGGGAGATGGCTCAGTGGAATAAGCACTTGCCTGGCAAGTGCAATGGCCCGAGTTCCCCGGTTCCACAAAAAAAAAAAAAAAAAAAATACTCATATACACTGGGCATGGTGGTGCATGGTAATCTCAGACTCAAGAGGCTGAGGCAGGAGGATAACCATGTGTTTAAGGTCAGGCTGGACTACACAGTGGGTCACTATCTCAAAAATAAAGAGTACTCATACAAGCCTGGTGTGGTACCACGTACCTTAAATCCCAGTTACTTTGGAGGTTGAGGCAAGGGGATCACAATTTCAATGCCAGTCTAGGCAACTTAACCAAAAACAAAATAAGGGCCAGCAAGATAGCACAGCAGACTAAGCACCTGTTTAGGTAAGCTAGGGACCAGGGTTCAACCCCTGGTACCACATGCTGAACCAGCCCTTCTCCCCTGGAATGCTGAGCCAGTCATCAAGTTTGGGCGTGGTGGTGCATGCCTATAGTCCCAGCACTGGGAAGGCTTGAAAACAGGAAGATCACTATGAGTCTGAGCTACATAGTAAGACCCTGCACCAAATACATTTTAAAAAATAAAAATAAAACAACAAAATAAAAACCCACATTGTAAAACTCATAATTCTAAGACTCTTCCTTTAGAAATCACTTATATTTTAATTTACTAAGCAATTATTTATTGGATATCATTTGTCAAAAAGTGATTGGCTGGTTATTATTTGACACTTGAGTGTGAAATTCATTTCTTCTGCTGATTTAAAGATACCAGTTCAACAACTTCTCAGGGTAGTATCAAATTACCTATTTTTCCAGATTAATAAAACACAAAACCAAACCAAAACAAGAGTCATGGCCATTGCTTGACCAATTTGCTCTCTGTGAAAGCCTGAGAGAATGTTTTCTCTCTATGTGACTCTCCTTGGGCACATTCTACATTGTCGATCACTTTCCTCTGTGGTCCTATAATCTCCTTGAACAGAAAATTTGGGACACCACTGAGTTACAGGATGTTACAGTACAGGTTCTCTTATGTCCTGAGTCTTCACTGACCTTGAAGGGCTAGGGTCAAAATGTTGGCTATCCTTGTAACCTTCTTTTTCTACAATATTTTAATGGCAATGCAATTCCCATCTCTGACAAAACTAAACAAAAAAGGGAGATAAAAATGAAGGACCATTTTGTAGTGAAAAAAATACATACATCTGTATATACAAAATAGGATAGATATACAGCTACTTTCTCTTAGTTCAATGAGAAGAAAGATTTGTACTAATAGTGTTTAGACAAGATATCTTGTCTGCATCTTGTACTATGAATAACTACTATGAAGACAACAATATGCAATGTATTAATTATTGTAACTCTCCTACTAACCTGTTTTGAAACTGTCTCATTACTATTTCCTTCTCAATAAAATTAATTTAAAAAGACAGGGGCCAGGGAGATGGCTCAGTAGAATAAACGCTTTCCT